ATTGATTTTTAATTCACTGCCTTATTTCCAAAAGGACTTGACAATAAACTCGGTGCTGTATGTGCAGTATTGATCCCTTTCAACAAGGGCTTGGATCAAAGACTGATGCAAGTTAATCACAAACAAAAGATTGTTATCTTTCATCTAGGAACCTGTGTTTAAACCAAATTCCCCTTTTTGAGCTGTAATACACCTTGTATTTTCCAGCTGTACTGCACCTCAGCATTCTGAAAACCTGCCAGCTATTCAGTAACTATAATTTTATGCAACCTTTAAATAACAACTTTTTCCCCCAAGCAGAATAATTTCATCCTTCACTGGTCACTTTTGACTGTGAGGGCTGATGGTTCTTTTCCACTCTGAGTTCTTAGAATGAGACACAGACAAAACGTGCTTAAACTAAAATCTTATTTATTCCTAAAAGACAGGTCCTACAAGGCCAGGACAATCTGAGTTTGGTGGGTTTTTTATCTCAGTGCTCAGCTAAGTTTCAATTGTTACTGCTAATCACACTTGCAAACGTGGCTGGATCACTAAATTCCAGAAAATGCTCATTTAGTGGGATTGTCACTCCACTGGGAAGCTGAAATGTTCATTTTTTGTGGGTAAAACAATGAAACTGAGCAGTAACTGGTGTCTAAACCTTCCAAGCCCACTCCAGGAGTCAGCCTTGCAATGCTGCTCAGCTTTTCCAATACCCCTTTATGATTTTTTTCCACTTGACCATTCCAGGCTCTGTTTCAATCTGGCTCTGAATTCCATTTTCTATAGCTGCCACATAAACAGTAAATAAAATTCATGGTATTTTTGCCCCACTAAGCAGCTCTGTCTCCCAGCATACCTGAAGAGCCCTGCTTGCAAGGGAGAACATGAGAACAACATTTTCATGAGCACACACTCCAAAAAGGGTGGATGAGACATTTGAGGATGATTCCAGGCAAAGGAGCCAAGCAAATAAGTCTGTGGGTTCTGCACAAGTAATTCCTTGACCTGCCACGCTGGATTACAAACACTTGCAAACACATTAGGAAAATGGTTTGCTGTCTCTTGTCCTTTCTGGCAGAAGGATTTCCACTTGTATTTTATGATAAACGAGTTTAAGCTGAAGCCAGGTGTGGATATTTTAAAATTTATGAACTTGTAAATCGATGTACATGGCCAATTAAGATTTAGCTCCAGCCAGGATTAACTACCCCTGCACATAAATTGAGGCTGTTTGAATGGAGGTTGTTTACCTCGACTACTCGGCATCAAGAGCGATGTAAAATATTTAAAAGGCAGAATATTTCAGGATAAAAGGCAGTTATGAGGAGTGCCATGGGTGGCACTGACAGTTCTGCACAGGGATGCACACGGGGAAGGAAAGAACCTTCCTAAGGAACACTTGGAAACTTCCTTTAGAGAACTGAACGTGAATGGAACAAAGTGTGGAGGAAAAGGGAGGAACTGCCCAATAAAGAATGTTCAAGCACTGCTTCACCCACATCTCCCCTCACTCTGGAAGGCACAGCCCCGAGTTCCAAAGGTGCTTCAATTAAGCCTCCCCAGTTCTTCATAATCAACATCTGAATGCTAATGAGGAGCACAGCTCCATGCAGGAGAGCATCCCTGTGCAATAAACTGCAGCAGAGCAGCAGCAGACTCTGCCTGTAGCAAGCATGCATAAATAAACAGAATTAATAACTACCCAAGTGTGGACGGGTGACTTAATCTGTTTCGATTAGATGCAGCTCAGCCCCAGGCCTTTGTGGTATTTAAAATGTGTTCATCATGTTTAATTAAAAACCTAATAAACTGGAGGTTCCTTTAGTTCTGATTCGGATTTCTCTCTCCTGTAAGCCCTATTGATTTTGTCAGAACTTTTGATGAAGAGAGAGAAAAAAGCACATTTTGAATGAAGAGATAAAAATGTGAGGTGTAATTGGGGCTGTTGGGTGAGGAGCAGTCAGAACCAGCACCTCTCCTTCCACATTTCCAGCTCTTGAAGCACTCCAGAACAGAAAAGCTTTCCATTAGGTTACCAAAACTAGAGATGAACCCTATACCCTGCATAAATTACAGCTCTTTGAAAGGTTATTGAGCCAAAGTGGGAGCTTGTTTTTGGACCTGAAGCAAGGGCAGGGTCAGAATTGTGCTGATCTTCACTGAGGTACAAAAGCCATTTTGCAGAGATTTTGTCCCAAGAGGAAATGTGGGTATTTTATAAGAGCAGTTTGTCCTGGGAGATGTTCCCACTGGAACCACAGCAGGGATGGGATGGTCACTTTAACCCCAGCTGAAGTTCATGATCCTGGCTCCAGATTTGGGATCTGTGGGATACAGATCCACCACCAGGGCAAGCACAGAGGCACTGTCAGACTCCTCTCCTGGCTCCAAACTCCACTCCCACAGCAGATCCCAGGGATTGCCAGGCCAAGGAGAACAGAGCAGCTCCATTCCCCCTGGGGGATTTCTGACTGCTTGCATCTGAAATCCCACACCTGGCAGAGACTTAAAGGGGCATTTTCTGGGGTGAGCACAAGGTGCTGAGCAGAACTCAGTGCTCTGACATCCTGGGCTGGTTTGAGTGGAGATTTAAACCTGGAGGAGGCACACGTTGCATCAAACCACGACAACTTTGCTCCTGGCTTCTCCCCAAATAACCCCTCCTCCATCCCACTTTCTATGGAAACTGCAGCCCCTCAGCAGCAGCTGATGCTGCTGGAGCTTGGGGAGCACCCAGGACCAGGCATTAAATGTGACACTTGCTGCAGTTTGTCCCCAGAACTGAACTGCTGAGCGTGACAAGAGAAGCAAACCCTGCCCATTGCATCCCTGCAGAAATGGGGGAAGGAGCCTCACCAGCAGCTGCTCAGGGCTGCCCAGGCACACAGCAGGGCAGGAGGTGCTCTGCTCACCCTCACAGAGGTGAGGCAGAGGAGGAACCTCACTGGCTCTCCCTCTGTGCTGATGGAGCTACACACCGGGACAAAAATGCTTTATAAACAGCCACAGCTTCAGAGACACCAGGGAGACAACAAACCTCAGCCTTCATATTTACACAGCCCTCGTGTAACTCAATCAGTGCCCAATTTTATCCTCTCCTTAATTCCATCTAAACATCTGCAACCACATCAGCAGCAGGGAAAATAACACAGCTCCCATCTTTAGTTTTAATCGGGTCTGACACTGCCAAGCAGCTCCTACCTCACAGTTTGGACACTGAACAGCAGAGCTCTTCTAATGGAAAACAAGGCTTTGTCTTGGGGCAGCTGAGAGTCCACCAAAATAAAAGTTTTAAACATGTTGTTGTTGTTGTTGTTGTTGTTATTATTATTATTATTATTATCGTTATCATCATCATCATCATCATCATTATTATTATTATTATTATTATTATGGTTAATAGTGCTATATTGGATCTGGGATCTGCTTATTTACTCAATTGCATAACTTAAATTTAAGTATTTCAATTTAAGTAAGCCCCATTTGCTGGGCTGCAAGAAGAGATTAATTACAAGTCTAGGCCAAATAAGGGCAGGGGCTGGGCCTGGGTCCCCACTTCCCTCAGAACTCTCCTGGGATTATCAGCCACCCCCTCACTGGAGGCTCCATCCCTCGGCACCCTGAGGTGAAGGGGACACACAGAGTTAATGCTGTCACCACAATTTCATTGTTTTGGCCAGACTTAGGGTTTGACACCTGAGTGTTTTCTGACCAACACTTCACTGTAGAATTGCTCTGCAGCTTCAGCACCCTGTGGATCAGAGTTCTCCTCAGTTTCCCAGGGCCTGCAATAAGGAAATTTCCCCTGCAAAGCTCCAGAATGCTGCAAAACACAGCACAGCTGCTCCAGGCTGGAGCTGTCTGGAGCTGCAGGGACCAAGAGGCTCTGAGGCTGTGCAGGTGGAGCTCTGCTGTCTATAAATAAGAGCACAGTTTGATCTTTGGCTCTGCCCAGGCTGGAGGGCTGCCAAATGTTTCTGGAAACTTGGATGGAGCAGAACAAGAACAAATATGATAAAATGAGCTGGGGCTGACAATGATTTATAGAGTCAGTGATCATTACTCTGTGCTCACAGGCTGTACTTCTGCAGTAATGCTTCACTTTTCAATAAACTTTGTTTTTTCCATGGGTAAGGCTCAATTCTCTCTCATTTAACATGGGTGGATCATCAAAACCCCCAAGTGCAGCAGCTCCAGCACTCACAGCTCAAGCAGCTGATGGAAAAAAATGAGGAGAGGGGGGAAAAAAGCTACACAGGGAGAAAAAGAGAGGTGCCAGCACCTCTGAATATTTAGAATTTACCCCTGGATGTGTGCAGAGAGCACAGAGTCAGCAGTGCAGCAGCCAGTCCCTTTTGGGACACGGTGAGGGCAGAGCTGCCCAGCGTGCCCCAGGCTCTGCCAGCCCAGCCCCACAAAGGCTCCTTGTTAGGCCTGGAACCAGCCCCAAACGGGGGCTCAGGGCTGGCCCAGCTCCTGCAGGAAGGTTTAAACGAGGGGAGAGCAGAGTCATGCACTGCAAGGATGCCCTGAAAGCCCTGCAGAGAACCTACAGCTTAAAAAATCTCTCCAGCCCTTGCCTGAATAATTAAAACCACTATGAGAACATGAACGTTTCCTCCATTAATCAGTTCTGTATTCTAACACTAATGCCAGCTTTATCAGTAGCTTAACAAGATCACATTTTTATTTTTGTTTACTTCTTTAAACACTTCAGCAATTAACCAGCTTAAAAATTGACCCACTCAAGGCAAAAACAAAACAAAACAAAACCCAAACAAACTTTTTACTGTCACTTTTCCATGAGCAATTCTGTCACACACTGGATCAGGTTTTTTCATTTATATACCCATGTATTTTCATTTATATACCCAGGCATGTGTATTTTTATTTACACACCCGCCCTCTTCTTGCTCATAAAGATAGCCTCTTTAGGGAAAAAAAAAAAACCCAACATAAAAAAGCAAGAGCAGCAACGTGAACCATAAAGGCTGAGGAGATAAATCATTTCCTACCACTTCATCTTCAGTCCAACACTTCTCAATCAGCTTTGGCACAGGTTTCTTCACCAAGCGCTGCAGGGCTTTTCCAGCATCGTAGTTACTTTCATGTAGCTGAAAAATAAAGAAGACAAATAGATCATTCAAAGGAATTAGCAGTGATCTGATATTGGAGAAAAAACAAAACCACTACAGGGAGCCACATGAGATGTTCTCTGCCTAATTATTTTTACTGTTGATGTATGAAGTGAAATTTAAACAACCTGAAGGGTAACTGAGGTTTTATCAGTAGGAGCAGCAGCGTTAAACCAAGCAGGGATCCCCCTTCCTTCCTCAACCTGTCCCAGGTAATGTTTAAGCCAAAGTCACACTGCTCCCTTCTACTCACAGGGCTCAATGTGATGTCAGCCATGATAAAATAAAAATTAATATGTGATGGGTTATACTTCACACAAATTGGCTCAAATCTCCTGTTGTCAGCAGAACAGACCTGAACTGCTGAAGGTGCTCTTCCCCTCCACCAAGTTACTGGGGCATTCATTAGTTTTGAATACTTAGGGGAGTTTTAAAGGAAAAAAAATACTTCTAAAAATAAAAGGTCACTCCTGGGCACAGACCTCTGCTGTTACCTGCAGTGTGTTTTTGGAACAAACAAAAATGGTCCTTAACTGGCAGATAGAACTTCTTTATCCTCACCAACAACTGAAACAACAATACAAACAGGGTTTCTGCAATGGAACGAGTGCTTGAATAACAGAAGGTGGACAAGAAAGAAAACTAAAGCCACAGTGGTTTTCTGTTCATTTGAGCTTTTGTTTGGCACCTTGAGGGAGGCCCCAGTCACTGGGTGCAGGAATTTATTCCTTGCACTGATGCAGGGAAACCAATGACAACAATGCTCCAACTTCCAGAAGTTCATTTCCCCCTGGTGCCTCCTTCCAGCCCCAGCTCTGGGAGGTGCCAGAACAGCAGGGCCAGCAGCAGGGCCACCATCAGGGCCAGCAGAGCAGGGCCAGCAGCAGGGCCAGCAGAGCAGGGCCAGCAGGGCCAGCAGCAGGACCAGCAGCAGGGCCAGCAGCAGGACCAGCAGCAGGGCCAGCAGCAGGGCCAGCAGCAGGGCCAGCAGCAGGGCCAGCAGCAGCCCTGACTGTCACTGCCTGGGCTCAGCTCCTGCTCCCAGCCCTGCAGCTCGCTGGGGACAGCAGGGGATGGGTGCAGAGCTGGGCTGAAGGGGCACAGGGAGCTGAGCTGGGCCCTGCTCAGAGCTCAACCTGCACTGCCAGCACTGGCTCTGCTCAAGTGCCAAAACTGCCTGGGAAAAAAAAAAATCTGCTTAAAAAAAGTATTTCCAAGGCTCCCGTGGTATGCAGTGCCTACTTACAGGCATAAAAATAAGATGTTGCCTTTTCTGCTGGGTACACATTAATTTTCCTCCCTGTTTGCACTCCAGCACTGGGAACAAATCCATCTCAAAGGAAAAAACACTGTTTGTTTTGCCAGCTCACCTGGCAAATGCCTCTTTTCTGTGCGTGCCACTACCTAGAAGATTTTTCACTCAGGAGATGTGACAGAGCTGAGGAGAATGGTGCTCCTGTTTCCCTTCCCTCTCTGCTCCCTCCCAAAACACGAGGAATGCCAAAGCCTCTTTGTAACTTGGAGGGCATCTTTATTTTGCCTCAAGGACAACACGTGTTTTTCCCTGGCAGCCCCGCTGCCCAAGCAGCTCAACCTGCAAGAAAAATAAACCAGACAAGCCCAGAAAGAACAGCCTGGTCTGACAGGCAGCTACTCCAGAAAAAGAAAAGTTTACAGGCCAGCAAGGCTGTCCCAGACCAGCAGCAGATAACATGGGCATTAACTTCTGAGCAAGTCATTACATTAATAACAATCCCAAAGGCCGTCAGCACAGAGCCATGGAACAGAGAAGACCCCTGTGAAAACGTGATACAGGCTCAGAGTCTCCTGAAAAATGTTAATTTTAGCAGGTACGAGTGGGAAAAGATGTTTTATAAATGCCAGGAGTAGAATAATGCAGCAGAAAGGAAAAATATTTCCTCTAAGTGCTGGAGTTAAATTGACGTGCTCCAGTCTGGCTCATTCTCTGCTTTTTACTTTGAGCCATTCACTATTCCTGAGCACTCCACTGGCAAGATTCAGATGTATAAATAACAGCTAATGATGACTGCCTCTGCTTTCATTAACTTCTGCTTGAACTTCTCCAGGTATTTCTATAAACACTGGATCATTGTCCAGCCAGCCAGAGAATCTCCATTTTTAGCATTAACTCTGCATCCAAATTTGGCACCGCCATGAGATTTGATCTGTCAACAACTGCAACAAAGGGAACCACCACAAATGTACCTTAAAACAGAAAATACAGCAACTTCTGCATCACTGGGCAGGATTACAGCAAAATTCTGCATGTGCACGTGCCCAAAAGCCTCCCTTACACTGCTATTAAAGAAAGCCAGGGCCCAGGGAAGGGATTTCACCATCAAGGCTGCACATTCCCACCAGGCTCCAGTTCCTATTGCAGCCTCTGAACAGAGCTGCCATTTCTGTCTGGGTGATGCTGCAAATAAATTCTCCTTTGGCATGGCTCAGCTGTCAGGCACCTCCAGTCTGTAATGAACCCATGAATTACATCTTGCAGCTCTGACATCTCTGGGCTTGCTCATCAAAATATTGTTCTTCAATTGTAATTTATAACTTAATTTAAATGTCCCTTTCCTGTGACCTTTTTAGAGCAGAGTGCCATTGCATCTGGCAGCTCCTGCTCCAGCAAGGCTTCCTTTGGCAATTACAGCCATTATGCTCTGCCTTGAAAAGCCCAGCTCACTGAGGCTGCATTCAGGGCTCACCATTAAATAATTGCAGTCCATTAAGAACACTGAGATCCCAGAGCCTTTTTCTCCAAGGAAAAATTGCTGCTATCTCATGAGAGTTTTACTGAATGCTTCAAAATCAGAGTCCCAGCCTGGGTTAAAGCAGAAGGGATTGTTCAGCCAAACCCACTTTTATGGGGCTGCAGCATGTCCAGCACTGCAATTGCAGAGCTCTCCAGGTTCCAGAGCTGGCTCTTCCATGGGATGATGACCTGTCCTGGACAAATCACACCCCAAGATGAGGGAGAAGGGAAAAGACAAGGAAAATGAGCAGGATGGGGATTACTGCCGTGAGCAGCTCCACCTTTGGGTGTGATAACTCCAACCCAACACCTCATTGAATACAGAATGTAATTCAGGCCACTTCTTTCAGTAGCAGAGCTGACACATTTCAGTGGGCTGTGAATATTCTGTGTAGCTGTGGACATCTTGCCCTCCTATGAAAACAGAATATTCTTCTTTTCATTTTTATCAAATATTTCTAAAACCCAGCAAGACAGAGCCCCAAGGGCCCTTTAGGGTATAATTTGGGTATCAGACAAAATAAAACAAAAAAAAAATCAAAAAACACCCCAACTTCCATCTCTTCCCCCCAGTTCTAATTTATTTTAAGCATCTAAAGAGCTGATGATGAAGCTTAAAATCCCTGCTATTTGAGATGCAGCCACTTTGCACTGGCATTGCCAGGGAGCTGCCAGACAGCCCAAAATGCAGCTGCCAAACAGCTGGGGGACAATGCAGGCACATCCAGTGCCCCACACAGAGCCAGGGCAAGAACTCGCCAACCACCTGCAAGATGTGCAACAGCACATAAAAAACCCCTTTCAAAAATATGAGTGTTTTGCATACTCCCCCAAAACTTTAACAGCAATCCCAGCAGTCGGGTTTGGCCATTTTTTAGCTGCCTGTAAGAGCGAGGATGAGGATGAATGGATCTTGCAGAATTGTCTCCTGCACTGAGTGGCTCCAGCCTGGGACAGGCCTGGGCAGGGAGCCTGGCCCTGCCTCGTGTGAACCAGGAGAGCAGCTGCTCATTAACATCATCCACAAGGAAAACTAGTCGTAAGGAGAAATGCTAACATATATTTAAATATTTTTTTTTTATGCTTTCAACCTTGTCTGCAGTTAATGAACAAGAAAATCTGGTCTAAGGGCAAGTTAAAACAGGGAGTAATTTGTCTGTGTGACATCTTAGTTAGAACTGAATTTCCTTGCACTGAGATTAGCCTGTCATGTTTGTCACTCATAATGACACGTTCCCATGCAGCAGAGCCATGAGAAGGCACAACAACACTATTAGTAAAGAGAGATTTACACAATATTAGCATATCACTGTTTGGGCCCTCCTCCACGTAGCACTACATGAGCCTAAGTGGTGCTATTTTTTCACCTTATGAGGATAAATAGGAGTGGCTGGCTCTGATTTCCACAGCAAAAACATGAACCAAGCCTCAGAGATTCCGTGTTCCACACTGAGCTTGCAGCCTGCCTGCCCCAGGGTCTGTTCCAGGCTTTGCTGTTCCACAGAACACCAGGCAAGGCTGACCTCTGGGAATGAATTCTTCCTCTGCAGCTCTGTCAAATCTGAGCACACAGCAGTGAATTAATTCCTGCTTGGCCTGGGATCTCTGGGAACAGCACTGCACAACCTCTGACCAGCAGGCACAGGTCAAAGGGATAAAAGAGGTCATGAGTTTCTGGCCTTGCACTGCTATGGACACAGAAAGGATCTGAACCACATCTGATGCTGAATCAGAGTCTGGAGGGCAAAGAGCAGGGAAGGAGGGAGGGGAAGGAACTACTCCAAAATTTCCCCCAGCTCTCCTTCCTCAGCACTGCCAGCAGCAATGCTCAATATTCACCTTGTTCCATCCTTCCCATGATTATCAGAGCTGGCAGCACCTTCTCCCCACAGAGCAGGATGAGCTTTCTGGGATCATTTCTTCACCATTATTATGGTGAAAGGCTTGCAGTGTCCTCCTCCAGCCCTCCCAGACTGACACCAACACCCATCAGGAGGGCAGCAAGCTCCAAATGAAAACTTTATTTCCTTCCCAAGGGCTACAGTGACAAATGTGGCAGCAAACCCCAACAGCAAACAAAAAAGGAACGGGAGCTGGAATTCACCTGGAACGTTGAGTGAATAATCATTTCAGTGAGCTGAGATATAAATACATGTATGTGATGTCTGTATGTTACATTGTGCCTTCCATGATCTTCATTTCTATCTGGCATAATTAACAATAAATCATTCTGGGGGCTTACAGCACCTGTTATTACATAAATAAAATAGCAGCAAAGGAGGTGTCAAGACTGATTTATGTGAAGTGCTACCCTGAAGTTTATTGGATTTCCATAATAAGAAATCATACCACACCATTTTCTTTTACATTCATCTTCTGGGTTGCATATGATAATTTCTAAACAAAGACACAACTTAGTGCAGGTTAAGAGGCTCACAAATCATTTATCAGATAAAGCTGATCTCTTTAGAATAGGTGGTGAACTGAAAGATAAAAAAGGTACCATTTTGTCAGGACAACAGGTGACCTATCTAAACTGTTTAAAGTCAAAAAAGCAGGGCCTCAGAAATAAGTCAAAGTTTCTTAAAATATTCCTGACAGAACTATTATTCATAAGGAAACTCTTTTCTAGAAAAACATTCCAAGTGGACCAGAAATGCAAAGAGAAAAGAATCAGAAGAACAAAACCAAAATATTTTGGGACTAATCTAATTTCAGAAGAAAGAACTCCACAAGTGCAACTTGCAGATTCCTTGGGCTGCCAAGCAATTAAAGGGAGTAATTAAAGCAGATAGAGAAGCAGTGAAGTTAAATGAATTTTCTGCATTAGGCTATTATTATAGATAAGGGGAAAGAAATTCCAATTCCAAAAGCTCTTTAATGATTATTGACCTTAACAGAAATTTGAGTCTCTGAGAAAGATGTCAGAGAACAATTGGGCCAAGTGCAGAGTGGTGAGGGACCAGCAGCTCCATCCCGAGGAAAGGAACACAAGGAACATCTTCCCTGTGCAGAATGGAGGTGTTTCAACTCCAGCTGAAACCCCAGACTAGCTGGGGTGAGTGGAAACCCCAAGAGCCAGGTCAGGGGCAGCCGAGCAAGTCCCAGTTCCAGCTGGTGGCCCTGACCTGAGCAGCCTCCCAAAGCCACTCACTGGGGCCACCTTGGAGCAGCACCCACGAGTTCCTCACTGCACCTCTGCAGCCCAGAGCTTTGAGAATCGTTCGGTACTTGAGAGGAAGTTACCACCAAAAAGCCAAAATATGGCTCACACCCCAAACATTTGATGCCCTCGCTGCTGTGGGAGGCCCAGGAGTGGCAGGAAGGTTCCTCCCTCGGGGGGCACTCACCGTGTTGAGGGCGTTGAGGGTGGTGTCGTCCCGGGAGGCAGCCACGCATCCATCCTCCGTGGATCCCCCGTCACACATCCCTGCAAAGGCTGCCATGCTCCTGCAGTGCCAGGGGAAGGAAAGGGGTCAGCTCCTCAGCTGTGCTGGATGCACTCTGCACTACTCACACACTGGATTAAATGGTGAATTTTAGGGCCCTGCGACACTGTGGATCAAATAAGGTACCACAAAACTGCAAAGCTGAGTCACCCCAGCACAAGGAATAAATCCAGCATTAAAATCCAATCTAATTTGCTTTCATCAGCTGAAAGTCTGCACTGCCAAAGGAGCAGGGCCTGATCAGGATTACAGCAGCTGAAACCTGCAGACAGGAGAATGGAGTCTCAGCAGAGACAGCAAACTCTGTGCTGTCATCTTGGTTTTATTACGTCAGAAAACTGACTGAAACTGCAGATTCCCCAGTCCCTGAATTCTTGCAAGCTACATGTAATTTACTGAGGCTCAGAATTACTGTGAAGCCCACCAGTGGGTTTTTGCTGAACCCCCAGGGAAGGGCTGAAATGCAAATGGAGCTGCCAGGGGGTTCCCTGCAGGGATCCTCTGCTGTCCCAGCTGCTGCACCCTGAGCAGCTCCTCCCTTGTCAGCCATCCCACAGGGCACTGCTGCCTTTGGGCTCCAGAGCCACACCAGGGGAGGCTGTGCTGGCCCAAACCTGAGCTGTCTCCAACCCAAGGTGGCAGCTGGAGCCCCCAGAGTGAAGTGGGGCTGCAGCCAGCACAGCCCTGCCCATCCCCAGAGCTGGCCACGGGGGCTGAACTCACCTGGCTGCCCTGAGGTACATCAGCAGGTCACAGTCGTTGACTCCTGGCATCCACACCAGCTCCTCGTGCTGTGTCACCGTGTCCCCGTCCGGGGAAGGGAACGGCTGCAGGTCAGGGAGCTTGGCCTGGAAAACGAGGGCACACAGACATGGCAGGAGGACACCTGGGTTCGTAAATTCTCTGCAGCAGCAGGATCTGGTAGGTGGGAGATGTTCAGACAGCAGCTGGGGATGGGCTTTGCTCCAAGTTTCCAAATTCTGAGGAGGCTGAGGCATGGAGCCCCAACCCATTCCCTTCATCCAGCATTCCTTCCTCAGAAGGGCAGTGATTTTCCTGATGGTTATTCAGGGCTAACACCTCCTCAGCCCACTGCCAGTGGAGCCCTTCAGTACTCTGGAGCAGCAGAGGTCAAAAGGAAAGCGTTGTGTGCTGCACAGCCCCGTGGGATGGAAGGCCAGAGGACGATTCCCCTCCGACACTGCAGCTGCATTTGTGCCAGGGACACTGATCCAGCTGCTGCCTGCCAGGCTCAGACCCCCACAGAACACACTCCCAGGGAGGAGGGCAGGGAGGTGGTTACCAGATGTGTCCCATTTGAAATCAGCCAGAAACCCTACACATTTGACACTAAGTTTAAAATTAATGCTCGGTAAATCATTAGAACTGTAAAGAGAAACAAAGACATTTCCTGAAAGGGAGATAGCTCAGCGAAATGAACACTGCCTCTAAAAACGTATTACACTCTACCCAGAGACCCAATTAGCATCTTTAGTCATCTCCTGCTCTGAGATGAGATAGCTGAGAGCCTCTTCAGAAACAGCTTTTAAGCCCTATAATTACCTCCTATACTTACAACACTAAACGTATTTGAGAGGCAACATTTATACATAACCAGTAATTACAAGTCACAGGTTCAGATGTCTTTCATGTTCTGCTCTTTAATCTGTACTTTATTTTACTTCTTGCCTGGGAAAATGGATATGTCATTGAACTTCTCTTCTGGGAAGGGATAAGCCAGCACTGGGCTTTGTGGGAGAGAGGCACTGCAGCAAGCAGGGGGCTGCACAGCCCACCTCCAGCCTCCTGGAGCCTTGGAATGGGCTCACTTACTGCAGCTTCTCCCAGCAGCAGCTTCCTCTTCACCACACACAGCACCACTGAGGCTGGACAAGATCTCCAAGGTGATCCAGGGCCAGCTGTGAGCCATCCCCACCTTGTCCCAGGAGCACTGAGTGCCTCTGCCAGGGGTGGGGACCCAAACCTCCCTGGCTGTTCTTTGTAGCCAGAAGGTGTCCCAGGAGAACATCCAGCAGAGACCCACCCTGCTCCCCTGGGAGGTGAATCCTCAGAGCTCTGCAGTCCCACAGAACATTTGTCTCCTCTGCTGTGGGGGATCTGTGCACCGAGGAAAGCCCAACACCTCTGGCACTCCTCATGTGCACAGCTGAGGGAAAAGGAAGGCACCATCAGGAACCCCTGCCAGGACCTGCTCTGGACTCTGCTGCTTTCACTCACTGAGGGGAGTGTCAGTGAGGACATCTGCCACAAGCAAGATGGGTGAGGGAGCAATGAAGTCTAAAACATGAAGCAAGCAAGAATTAACAGTATTCTAAATCAATGGACCTGCTTCCTCCTTTTTTATCCCCATCCATAAATGCATGTGGTAATTATACCTTAGAGCAGGGTGACTAATGCCTGCCAAAATATTAGATGACAATTTGAGATGAAAGTTGTTTTGAAGGTATCATTTACAGTACTCTTGTTATGACTACTGAAAAGAACACTACAGGTTTAATTGCCAAGGACTTTTTTCCTCTGAAGGCAAAACATCCTCAAGAATGTGACATCAGGTTCCATAAATATTTACTTTCACTAGTTCTTAAACAAGATTTTTAAGAGGGTCTGAATGAATATTCATCACTTGGATGCAAAACTCCAGCACTTGGACACTACAAAGTCAATTCCTCAGGAGAAGGAGAGGCCTCATTCCCAGTGAGAGATCTGGCCCTACGAACCACAGCAAGCTGTATGTTAATTCTCTTTAAGAACAGATTATTTCCAATGCTTATGATGGATTTCTCTCAAATTAGAATTAACATACCAGGAACATCTAGAGTCTTAACCTTATTCTGCTTCCCAGTGCGTGAACACACTCAGCAGCTTCCTCAATTTCTAACAATCCAAATGACTTAAAGCACTTCTTTAACTTCCAGCAGTTACTCACATTCCCTCAATCTTATTCAAGAATTAACCCAGTAGCACCTCTGCTACTGAAAATCATTAGCATATCAACATCTGACACAGAAACTGAGCTAAGGAATACTAAAGAACTCACAAAAGTGAGTCATCTGAGGATGATGCTGAAAACCCTCGCTGTATCTGAACACATGCAATTTTAAACAACTGTCATCTGCACAGATCAAGAGGCAAAAGCATCTCTGGATGCTGAACACAAACAAAACCCCTTACCTGGTGGCTGGGTCCAACTCTGATTTCACCTTGGGTACTGTTTAGCCTCCTAAGATAAAAGGGAAAACAGCAGTGAGAAACAATTGCAATTGATGAAATTCAGGGTCATATTGTTTTTTGTCATTGCATTTCCAATGCAAACGGAGCAGAAGCAGAAATAACACATCATTTAGAAACGAGAGGGGATGTGCTCAGGTGTGTTGAGTAACCTGGTGTGTGGAAGGTGCCCCTTGGCAGGGGCTGGCACAGTGCCACCCTCCCAGGAAACAAATCCACTCCAAACACGAGCCAAAAGCCTCCAGAAAACAACGAGAACACATCAAAATGTTTTCCCCCAATGCGTATTTTTGCAAGACAACCTGACACTGTTCTCTTGTTTCCAGGTTATGCAAGGAAATGACTGAACTAGGAAATCAATTTTCTATTTACAAAGTCATACATTAAATACCAGGTTACTACAAGGTGTCAGAACTCTTCCCTGTGAGGAGCAAAGGGGAAGCTGACAACAGAAAATGCTGATGCTCTTCCTTTCCTCCCAGAATTCATTCTCAGGCCGTGCACATCCCTGCTCATCAGTGCAAGTGAAGCTCACAACTCCTGGGCTGGGTTTGTGCCCACCCTGAACACTGACGACAGGAAGAACCAAACATCCCCCAGCTCCCCATTTCTTCAGCTGCACCACACTGACTATGACAAACAAAACATTTAAGAACCCAGGCTGGAGCATCCTGTAGTTGCAAAGTTAAAAGTTTGGGATGGGACTTCTGTTCCCAACTCTTTCTGTGGGAACTCAAAGGGCTCCCCAACCATTCCTCATGAAGTGTGGACAGAAGTATTTCTGTGTGTCTTTCCATCACCCAGTCACCATTTCCCGGGAATATTCCCACCTCCAGGTGCTCCCCCCCTGCCCAAAAGGTGAGGGCTGGGCTGAGCTGCTGTGCAGGAAGCTCTGGCAGGCTGCCCCACATCCCACTCGGATTTTAAAAGGGCACAAAGCCCCTGGCTCCTCAAGGACACCATCTGCTCCCTAATTTCTACTGTTTCCACATCCTCAGGAACAGGTTTCAAATGGGAAAAAAAAAATAAATCTTGCTATGGAAACTAAAATGCACTGCAGATTTGAAGCTAAATCATATTGGTGAGAGCAATTACAGTGAGAACGGAATGGCATCCTGTGTTTATTCCATGGGAAAGGGAAAAAAGGAGCCAACACTGTATATGAAATGTGACACAAAAGAAACTGCTGTAACAAAGCAGTATCCATAGCAACAACAACTTAATATTTCAGTCCTCCTCAGCTGCAGTGGATTAAATATAATGACAAGATGTTCCCTTTGAAAAGTAACCTGTTGCCATGGCAACGTTGTGTTCTGCAAAGTAAACAGGGGCTGGTCAGAAAGGAGCTGGGAGCCAGTGCTGGAATATCAAAAAGGCAGGAAGGAGGCAGAGCAGGGCAAACAGCACACCCTGATCCACAGAGCCGTGTTCACACACTCCAGGAGAGCCAGGAGCAGGTCCTGCTCCATCTGCCCTGGCAGCACCACACAAAGCACCCAGAGTGAGGATGGGCAGGGACTGAGCACAGCCTGGCCACAGCTCGGGCAGGGAGCAGAGAGGGAGCAGGGCTGGCACTGCAGTGCCTGAACAATTCCCAGCACAGAAACAGCTTCACCCTCTGTTTGTCACCTGCCCACAGCTCTCAGCAGGGACCCAGGGCTGGCACAGCTGGCAGCTCTGTCCATGGGCACAGTGCCACCAAGGACTGGGACATGGCAACCAGAGCTGCCCAAAGCACAGCAGGACAGCTCTGGGGAGAACCTGGGCTCAGGACCCTGCTACAGAATGCCAGGATGGCAGAAGGGCCCTGGGGATTTGTGCACAGCCCTGTCCCTGCTGTGAATCCCTGGGTGTGCTGCTCTTTGCCAGGAGGTTTCTGTGGAAGCACACGGGCTGGATCCATCCTGCAGGGTCAGGGATGGCCTGACAAGGTGCAGTCTCAGAAATGCTGCTGCTGCTGCTTTCACCTTTCCCTTTTCAGTGCCAGAGCTCAGCACCAGAGCTGCCCTGCAGCAGCTGCATGTTCTCCATGCAGCCTGGCACGGGGCTCAGGGAGGTGGCACTGCTGCAGCGCCAGAGGGACCTGCTCTGCTCCTCTGCAGCTCCTTCCACCCAGCAGCACACCACTCATTTGGGCTGCCTTGTCCTGCTGTGGTCACCCTGCCCTCAGTGCTCTCCCCTCTGGGCTCTCAGACATCCTCTGCCAGCCAGCAACACCTCAAACCCCGTGGAAATAACTCAGCACTGCCATTAATATAAAAAACCAGCCCACAACAAAACCCCAAAGCGAAACCAGAACCCAAACAACACCCACAGGACAGCATTTTGTGCTGCCCACGTACCCAGCCTGGGCATCCTCACCCCTGATTCTGCAGACTGAGGTGATCCCTGATTAAATGAGAGGGATGCTTCAGCAGAAGAAGGTTTTTAAACCAGCCACTTTACTCAGCCACAAACCTCATCTCAAGCAGCGTTTCTGACTCTCTTTGGAGCTCTCCAAGAAGGGTTTTCAAAGCAAACTTGCTAAAACAGGAGTGACTTGGGCACACCAGGGACACAAACCTCACGTGCAGAAGTTTCAGCCATCCCTGAAGCGCCCTCAGCCTGGAATGAGCAGGGTCAGGGCTGGTTGCTCTCAGCCATGCCCATGTGAGGACAGCTCACTGGCTAAGGAAGGGCCCAAAAACAGCTGGAAAAGGCCACAATTTCTGTATTGCCAAAGATTAAAATAGGAAAGCATCTTAAAGCCAGGATAGAGGGGTTTGGGCTATATGTTTGTTTTTAATAAGCAATAACAAGCTGTAGCACTGAACAATGACTCTTATGAGATTTGGGGTTATGTTTGAAGCCTGGTATCAACATCAGTGGCTTTGCTGAATAAAACCAAGCCCATGTTAGATATATGTGTTACAGGATAGACTACAAACTGCAGTCACACACTTAGCACTGATTAACCAGCCATCATTAACAGACAATCAGTTGCATCCACTGAGAATGTGACACAGCAAAGCAATTCCTAGATACTTGTGATTTCTGTAAAATGAATAGAAACTCCCAAGAAAATCCCAAGGAAAGTTTTTTTCTTAAAAAAAAATCCTTTAATTCAAATAGTCCAATACCCAAGATGAAAGAGCCCTGCTCTTCAGAGGCAGTTCTAAAAACATCTGGCAAGGATCATTTTGTTCCATCTCTAGAGGGACAAAACAGGGGAGAACAAAATTATTCCACTCCAACTTCAGCAGATTAAAAACCAGTTTATCAGGGCCTGAAAGCGACTGGCACTGCAGCCAAGAGCATCTGTTTATGGTCACTGTTGGGAGGAAGGGTACTGAGCCAAGTGGATCCTTAATTTGAACCCAAAATTATCTTATGCGTGTCATGTTCAAACTCTGCACACTTCACAATACAAAAGGGACAAACCTTTAGCTAAAAAAGCCCCACAACTACCTCAAACCTGACTTAAAACCTCAGAAGAACAAGTCCCCTGAATTCAGCTGTGTCTTAAACCTTTAAGCAAAATTTTAGATTTCATTTCATAGAAATAGTATCCTGACACTCTGAGAATATTATTGCCCCTTGGATGCTTAAGCTTCATTTAAAATTGTAGTGTTAATGTTGTAATGTGTGTTGCAATAATTTAAAAGAAAAAAACCAAAAAAAGAAAGCAGAAGCAATTTTGTCTGTGAAAAATCCAACCTGTACTTCAGGCAAACGAGCTTTTCTCAGTGCCTGCTCCCTCCCAAGCAGGAATGAATAAACGTGTCCCAACAGCTGCAGCTCCAGAGCAAGCTGCAGCCTGCTCCTGACTGCAGGGGCAGCACAGCAAGGACTGGAGGCTGCTCTGCGCCCTGCTGCTCTTGCAGGAGGAAGTTTTGCACAGACAGGAAAAGCTTTCTCAAGATAAAGTTGTTTTCTCATTCTAGAGGATTGAGAAAAGAAAAGCCTATAGAGTGCTCAGTGTTGGGGATGGAGGTGACAATAATTCAGCCAAGTTACTGCAGAGGAAGGCAGTGTTCTCTCACACAGGAATTACCTGTGTGGGGAGGATTTTGCTGGCAGGTGCCATGGAGCACCTCTCTAACACCTGCTTACCTCCACAAGAAGGAAGACACCAGCATTTTCATTGTAAGTTCAAAAAAATAATTACTGGGAACCATTGCATAATGCAAAGGTTTTTATCTGGTCACATGTGATTTTAACAGAGGCAGAATGTTGTTTACAAGCAGCACTACACTGGTGAGTGAATGTGCAAATGAATTCAGCATGGGCTGATGCTGTTTAAGTGTTTGCCCTGTACAGTTTCCAAAGGGCCAGGCAGTGCCTTTGCACTTCCCAGAGCAAATATTCCCTGTTAAACCAGACTGAACTCCACAGCAGCACTGCTCCAGCACAGCCCCAGCTCCTGGGCAGGACACTGGAACCAGGAACTGCAGGGACCTCTTCCACAAAGCTTCATCGGATCAGAGGCACTGATCACCTTCTGGGGCTCTGAACTTGCCTGACAACACAAATCTGCAGCTTCCCTGAACAGCACACAGGGCAGAAGCCACAGCTCGTATCAGAGGTGATAAGCATGAAGAATGGGAAGCGTGAAAGGAGCTGGAAGGTATCCCTAGTTCCACCACACACCTGGAAACAAGCTCTAATTAAAACAAATTACATCCTAAAGAATTGGAAGGAAGGGGAAAGAAGTAATCTTACTGATTTATGCCTGGAAAAGAAGCTGAAATGAAGGCATAACAAAGGGAAGAGACTATTTTTTATCCAAAGAACAATATTCAAGCACTTCCCATGATGTATGTGCAATTTCTAACAGCTGTTTGCAGTGGCATTAACTCACCAGACCACCTACCAGCAGTGCCTGAACTGGGAGCATCTGCTGGGCATCCAGCCAGGACAAAACTGTCCCTGGGGAATGGAAAAACTGCAGGAGCACAGCTGCAGGCTGCCAGGGCACCTCGCAGCACTGCAGATCCTGACCCCACTGCCACC